GTCACTCATATTTAGGGTGTGTCTTCTCAATTATCACAACATAGATAACCTCTTATAGACATGCCCAGAAGTGTGTTTCCACGATCTTTTGAAATCCCATCAATCTGATGATCAAGAGGAATCATCTTATATCTTATTCCCCTTTTCTCTCTTCTCTTTCCTCATTCCCTGTTTTAATCTAGGTCCCAAATGCAAGCTGTGTAGTTAAAAGACTTGAGTGGCTCCATCAGCTTGCATTATTCCCACCAGCCGTGAGAAAGGCTGCTGATGGTATGGCTTTGGGCAAATGACTTAACATCCCCCCAGACCTCTGTAGCCATGGTGAAGGACAAGAAAACAGATCAATGAAACATGACCCATACAAATGATTTTAGCTATCCGTTCATAAACAAGCAAAGGTGCCATGATGGAGAAAGTAAGAAAGTAGAGTTGGGCAGGCAAGTACCAAACAATGAATCTGCCCAGGACTTAAGCTTGTCACAAAGGCTAACTTAGGATGGGTCTTAGGCTGAAGCATGGAAAGCAAAACTACAAAACTCCAGAGAAAAATGTAAATAGCATTGATCATGGCAATGCTGTTTTACCTACAACAGCAAAGATGTGGCCCATGAAAGAAAGAGTTGCCAAGCTGGACTTAAGTAAACTTAAATTTTTCTGCTTTGCAAAATTCAATGCCAAGAAAATGAAAAAGACAGGCCACAGATTGTAAGAAAATATTTGCAGAAGCCATATCCAATAAAAGACTGTTGTCCAAGGGCTGAGGCTGAATACTTGCCTAGCATGCACAAGGCCCAGCTTGGGGGAAGAGGGGATTATATTTGTATAATTATACAAATATTATAAATATAAAACAAACAATACTAATATAAATACTGCTGAAGAGAAAACAACCTTATTAACAATATAGACCAAACACCCAAAGAAACACTGCACTTAAGAAGAGACACAGAGCCGGGTGGTGGTGGTGCACATCTTTAATCCCGGCACTCCGGAGTCAGAGTCAGGACTCTCTATGAGTTCCAGGACAGCCAGAGCTACACAGAAGAAGCCTATCTTGAAAAAAACAAAAACAAGAAGAGATACAGATGGCAAACGACTTTGTAGAAAGATACTCATTAGGGAAACACAATGGGGTACCATTGTATGCCTATTAGAATGACCAAAATCTGGACTGAGGAGATGGCTCACTGGACAAAAGCACTGGCTACACAAGCAAGAGGACCTGAGTTCAAAGCTCTTGCACTGTATTGGGTGGAGACAGGACAATGGCCACTAGCCTAGCTCCAGGTTAGTGAGAGACTGTCTTCAAGGGAATAAGATGAAGCATGGTAGAGCAGGACACCCAATGTCCTCCTCTGACCTCTCTGCATGCACAACGGTGCAACTCACCCATATATCCCATATATATATGTGCATATATGTGCACACATATACCACACAAACTCTTGCTTTCTATGTCTGTGATAAAGACCATGACCAGAGACAACTTGGGGAAGAAAAGGTTTATTTGGTTTACAGTTCCAGATCACTGTCTGTCATCAAGAGAAGTCAGGGCCAGAACTCAAGGCAGAAACCAGGAGGTAGAAAGTGAGGCAGAAGCTATGGAGGAATGCTGCTTTCTGGCTTGTTCCTCGTGGCTTGTTCATCTTGCTTTTCTATATGACCAGAATCACTTTTCCAGGGGTGGTACCACCCCCAATAAACTAGGCCCTCCAACATTAATCATTTAAAATAGAGCATCCGAGGTCACATGCACAGATGGCTAGGGCAGGGTGGTGGTGGTCTGTGTTTCAGAGCCTGAGTCTTGGATATCATACTCAGGGTGGCTGAAATAAAGCACTGTGCCATTTCCTAGTCCAGGTTTTTTGTTTTTGTTTTTATTTTTGTTTTTGTTTTTTTCTGAGACAGGGTTTCTCTGTGTAGCCTTATTCCAGTTTTCTTCTTCAAAATGTGGATCATATCCTCCAAATGGATTTTTCAGCTCATTAATAGGCCATAACCTGCAGCTGGAAGCCCCCTGCCCAGATCTCCAGGATGAGCTAGGCCCCAGGGCACCTGGCCTGTGATGCCTAACACCTGTTCTGCATCCCAGGGCCATTCTCAGCCCTCCTTTTCCTATTTTCTTCCCTTCAAACTGGACTAGCAGCGGGTACAACCCAATCTCTTTCCCACATGTGAACTGACAGCTTCAGGGCAGCTCAGGGTTTTCTTTGAGCTGGGGAGCTGAGAGGGGGTTACCTACTCTCCCTGGTGGAGATCATTAGGATGCAGCAGGCAGAGGAGCCTCAGCTAGGCTGAGCTTTCATTTCCAAAGGTTGGTCTGGAGGCCGGGAGATTGCACAGATAGGGGAATGCTCTGCCGCTCAAGGCTAACACTATTTCTGCTTGTCTAGCAGCCAAGCTCCTTAACCCTTGCTGATGCTGGTGCCTGGGAGACAACCCAAGGTTGCCTGCTGATGTGGAAAGTAGCAATGGGGGGTTATGTGCTTCATAATTATAAATCATTCGTTCTCATATATATCTTCCAATCCCAAGCTAAAGAAAGGGTTTCTCTGCATTGAATCTGATCCAGCCCAGCTCCTTGGAAGGTTACTATCCTGGAACATCACATTTTACAGATGAAGACACAAAGACTCAGAAGCCAAAAGTGGCTTGCCCAGTCTCAGCATAGCTGGGAGGGAAAGTGTAGGGAATGGCTTTTCTTTATGAAAGAGATACTCAAGGGTCTTGGGTGAGAGGCATCAGAGACCTCAGCATCCAGTAGCCTTGGGTTCAGGGTGTGTCTTGATGGCCTTGGATAGACATGCTGGGCTTCTGGTTGAACAACCTCCTCTTAGCTTCACTTCACTCTGGGATTAAAGCATTGATGGATGTCATTCTGCTTAGGACTCCATGTCACTGGTCCTGCATCTCGATACTAGGCCTTTTGTGGCTTATACACATTTATCTAGTTACCCAACGATTCTGATGTTTACCCATTGATTCTGTTGGCTTTCTAGGTAGATAATGGATTCACATACAATAGCTCAGTTTGATCCTTTCCTCTCATGCCCTACCCCATGCTTTCTTATGTACATAAACATAAATATTTATATTTATGTAAAGTGGCATTCTTAGCACTGATGATTATAAAATCAGAATAACTATCAACTGTGCAAAGTTGCAAGATGCTCTAATTTTTACAGCATAGAATATTCAGGCAAGATTTAATTCCTTACATAAAGTACACAAGCACATTCATCCTTAATAAGTGGAAAATCATATGTATATCAAAGAATTGTTTTAAAATACATTTATTATTAATTATCAATAAATGTTTGATTTGCCTAACTGTTTTACATATGCCCAGGGTTGTGTAAAAATTTCTTGGTCCTAAGGGGGGGTTGGGGAGCAGGGGAGGAGTTTAAGAAGCCCTGCACTAATCAACAGAGTGTACAGCTCAGACACCTAGCTTCCTGCTTTGTGAGAGCCATTATGGGGGAAGCCTTCCTGTCTCTCTTGGCATTTCCTTGGAGAAGGACTTTCCTCTTCTCCTCCAGGAGCATTCTGATCGTGTTGCCCTGGATACTTACTGCCTGCTCTGCCAGTGGGAGGTGTTCCTGTTCACAGGCAGCTCTCCGGGGTGATGAGCACCCTGAAGAGAGGGCCAGGACCTTCCCTGCCTCTGCTCCTGGTGCACACAGCACTAACTGCTTAGCATATTCACTTGAGCACAGCTGAGCACATGACCAGAAGGCCAGAAAGGCGCAGGTCAGAGGCTTCATCTCAGACCCTAGCCTGAGCAGAGGCCTTGGCTCTGACTGTCACCAGGTTGAGGGTAGGTACCTATCTGCAAGGGTAAAACAGAACTTTGGCACCTTGCCTTCTTGCTCTTATCTGTCTATGTGCTTGGAGGGAAAGGGTGGAGGATGCATAGAGCATCCTAAGGGGGCACCCTAAGCCCCCTAACAAACATTAAGGCCTGAAAATATCAACATATGCAGCTTAAGAACAGGGCAGGGCACTTCAAATACACTTCTAGGGGAAGAAACTTATAACTCAAAAAAAAAAAAAAAGTCTTTGGACACTACAAAACAAGATGAAAAAACAAACAAAAAAATAAGCCTTGAAAAAATCAGATTGAAAAAGCACGTGCTACTGAAGAAGCACAAATAGCTATCTGTGAAATACATCACCAAATGCTGCCTGAAGTTTGGGGCCTGGACTCTATTCTAGATGCGAAGGCCAAGGCAGACCCTCCACAATCCTTGCTATGGGGACACAGCTCTCACCAACCACACAGTGGTGAGAGATCCAGCTCTCTCAGAGGTAAGGGACAAGGCAGCATCCCAGAAGACAGTTGCTAGGACCCCTGAGTGTTGGTAAGCATACTCCAGGCCCGTGAATACTCCAGGCCCATGCACTCAGAAAAAGGAGAATCCAGTCCAGCCATATGTCCCATTGCTTAGCTAAATAGTGATACGAGCCCATAGGGTATCTGCTGGACTCTGGCTTCAGCCCACTCTTCTTCTTCATCTTTATCTCTTACTCTTTCTGCTCTTCCATCCTTCTCCTTCCTGCATGCTTTCTCATCTCCTTCCACGACTCCCTCAGTCTCTTCTCCCTTTCTGTATCCCTCCCTCTTCTCATATTCTTTCTACCAGAGGTCTTGCCCACTTGACAGAGGGTGAAAGACATAGTCCAGACCCTTCTGAGGCTCCCCAGGGTTGCTGAATGGTTGAGTGGGCAGGCCCTTGGCCATGAGACATTTGTTCACCAGAATGATAGATCCAGGTTTACTCCTGGCCACTGAGGAAGCTCTGAGTTGGGGGTAACAAGTTTCCAGAACCTGGCCTGAAACTAGCTGTGGTGGTCCTCTGGCTTTCTTGGTATCAAAGCTGGGCCTGTCCTACCCACCACCGCCTCACCCAGATGCTGGAGGCAGGCGTATTTATTGAAGGGTGGTGGGAGACCAGGAGGTAGGGCTGGGTGTGGGGAGGGCATCTCTGGCTCTTCCAGCATCATTTCTTAGAACCTGACTTCTTCCCCAAACCTATCTTCTTACTGCTCCTCCTGTCCTTGGGGAAAGGCTGCAGTTCCACTTCAGGCTGTTTCAACCTAAATATGCAACAGGGAGAAGCAGGCCCTGGGCAGCAAGCAAGCAGGCAGGCAGCCTGTCCCAGCTGATGAGGGCATGGCCCCGGAGGGAAAGTGGCAGGGGACAGCTCCAACTTGGGAGCCCAGTGGCACCCATAGTCTAATCCTAGCACTTTCCCATCTTTCTGGAAAGAGTGACCCTACAAAATTTTGATTTGGTTCCCTGTCACCATCACCAAGAAATTTGCTGGAATCTGGGGCAGCCTCATCCTTCTGACAGATGGGTCTAGACCGTGGGGGCTTGCTGCAAAGTGTCTCCTGGTGCACAACCCTGACACCCAGTAGGATACTGCAAAACAGGCTGGAAATCAGGAGTTGACCTGTACCCAGGGGGACACAGATTTCCAAGGCATAAGCCATGCCATGCTAGCCTGAGTGGCCTGTGATTAAGCTAGGGATCCTATAATGAGCCATCTCTAATCTGCCAACTAGAGCCATAGGGAAAACATACTTGTCGGGTGGGGTTGAAGGTATTTGTTCCATTTTGTCGCCAAGCGCCAATGAAGAGATGCTTTCTTCGAAATCTTCAGATTGGGCTCTTTTTGCTGGATCAGGCTCTTCCAGACTTTCGATATAGGTCGACATGCTGCAGGGAGGGGTGGTAGAAAGGCATAGCATTGGGGGTCAGAGGTGAGAGCCCAGAGTTCACTCAGTGCTATCCCACCCTTTTCCAGCCCATAGCTGGAAATGGACTAGCAAAACATTCTTCCTCCCAATTGTGCCAAGGGAGAAACTGCTCTGGGAACCTGGGAGTCAGTTTCTTGGCTTCTGTGAAGGGTTACATAGCCCTGGGTCCCATGCTACCAGCTACCTGGTCCATGCTATACTGAGCACTAGCAATGCCTGCAGGATACAGAGGACTTTGCAAAGCAGCAAAGGAAAGCCACGTGGCAGCCAAGGAAATGATGCCACCCTGCAGTATGTGGGCTGAAGGTGTCCCCAAATTGATATGCAGAAGTCCTAACCCCGGGAACTTAGAGTGCAGCATCAGTATAGGCATAATTAGTTGTGATGCAGTCATTCTGGAGTGAGGTGGGCCCCTAATCCTATGCAACTAGTGCCACATTAGAGTAATGCTGTCACCAAAGCCAACGAGAGGCTAGAATTTGACTTGAGAGGAACTGTGGTCCTCTCAAGTGGATCCAATTTCCAGCCCCAGAACTGAGATGATGTGCAGATGCTGTTAAAGCCTCTCAGTTTAGCTATTTTGACTTCTCTAAAAGTGCTGTGCCTATATGGCAAATAGATCACTGACATGAACTGCACTCAATTCTCAAAACTGGCAGTCCATCACCAAGGTGTCAAGAGATTCAGTGCCTGGTTACACTCATGGACGGCAGCCTCTCACATAGCAGAAGGAATAAGCTAGCTTGTAGGCATTCACTTCACTCATGAAATCTCTGTGCTTGTGACCTAGTCACTTCCCAGTGTTCATATTTCTAAGACCATCATCATGGAGCTAAGGATTTCAGCACATGAATCTGTGGCACACGGCACCTTGCTGCAAAGACCTCTCCTTACTAGTCCCTGGCCACCTCCTGTTGTGACTCAGCTGGTCCTGCCTCTTCTAAGGTGGGCAGAAAATGGGCATAGTACAGTGGCCCAGGGGTGAAGAACTCTCTCCTAACTGGTAGCACTCACAGCACACCAAGCCTTCACTTAGTGTTCATAAAGATCACGACTATTCACAAACCCTTTGAGGTTCTCACACCAGCATTTGCATACCATATTATCTTTACGAGGTTTCATTCTAGCATGAACATCACAGGATACTTGACAGTTTATATGATGCTTTGTCCTTCATAGATTACCATGTAGTTTACCAAGTGCTGCGCAGGATACAGCACTTCAGAGATGACTGGGAACTGTGCAGGGTATGTGACAGCTTGCAAAGTGCTCTGCTGCTTAGGATGAGCTGGTCTGAGAGGAGGCCCAGCAATTTCTGAAACCCTTCCTAGTTCACAGGGCACTCGGCAGCTCCCACTGCCCATTGTGACTTATCAGGGATGTAGCAATTTACAAAGGACTTTGTCTCTCACCCATTTCATGACCATTTTGCAAGGTTCTCTGTGGTCCACTGAGCACATTACAGTTTACACAGCATTAAGCTTATGGGGCCAAGACTATTTTCGAAGCACCTTTGTCACTGCAGTGTGTGGCCGTTTCTGATAGATTTTGATTGTCTCCTATAAGAGCAGCCTTGAAAAGATTATGTCCCATTCCTTCAGGACATGACTGAAGACAAAGGTCATCGTTGTGGTGTAGCCTGGACTTCCTATTCAAAGCACATCCTTTTCCTTGCTGGCCCTCAGTATCTCCTTCTGTAAAGTATATGTGCCATAACAAGGGCTCCTAGCTCAGGGTCCTCAGTCACTCTTCTGTGCACAGCCACCCATCCAGACTCTAGCAAAATAGAGCAGAGAGCTGGGAGCCCTCAGTTCGACACTCCTCTTCCTGATGAGCATGCCATGTCCTACAGGCAGCCAAGGGCCATAGACACACTTGCAAGTGTTACACAATTGTATATTTTGCAGCCACAAAAGAAAAGAAAAGAAAAAGCCTGGCCAAAATCTCCCCCACTGAGCTCCTATAGCAACCAGGGACAGACACAAACTCTTTCAAACGTCTCTGCCTCTGCAGTCTTCTCAACCTGATTGTGAACTTTTAGCAACTTTTGGGGGTTCTTCTCTCTCCCCAACCAGGTTTAACAACTCTTCCCTGATTGGTCTTATTTTTCACTTTATTTGAATACCCACATTCAAGACAATCAGGGTCCAGCTGGCACCCAATACATTCGGCCGTTCTGGGTTTTTCAGAGACAGAACTGCTGCAGGAACCGAGGGAGGAAGAAGAAAAGGAAGACTTCAGGTTTGGCTCTAGCCACTTGCTCATCTTCACTGAAGGAAGGCTACCCTCAGTGAAGGCTGCCTTTAAGACAGGCAGGGGACAGAATTGTTCCTATGCAGGAAATTCATTTGAGTCAGCCTCCAGGACATGACTAGTAGTTGTAGGCAGGAGGACTCATTTCTGCCTCAGCCTCCAAGATGCTATACTTCTGCTGCAGATGAGAATTCATTCCTGAGCTGCTTCCAACCTTCATGACCTGCTCCTTGTGTTCCCGTTGTTTGACCAGCAGATTTGTTCTGCAAGGGAGTGCTCTAGGTTGGTGCCCTGAAGCCCTCTAAGAACTTTTAAGCTGTAACACTTTTCAGAGCTCAAAGAGCTCTAAGAGGTCATCATCCTTCTGTTACCAAGAATTCAAACCTGATCCATTTAAATTGTCAAAACCCTTGTACCAAAGCACAGTGGGGGATATAATTAAACACCTCCCCATTTGCTTAAAGTGTAAATAAATCCACCTTCCTTTCTTGTTTCCTAGTATCTTTTAAATACAGGGATCTAAGATGCTGAGTTTATAACCATAAATGCCCAGCAAGACCCAACGTATCTCTGGCACATTCTTTTTTACGGTGAACAGCTCCTGAGATTCAGCTTTATAACTCCCTGGACCTGCCAATGTCTGGTCTCCAGCAACTCTATTCTCTTCTCTTGGTGTTCTGAGTGATGGAGACTCAGAACACTCAGGAATTTCTGTCTGCCTGCCTTATCCCAAGGTTCCTCCTCTTCCAGCCTTTTACACTGAGTATTCCAAAATGGGGTCACTTGGTGTGACCTCCGTGAATTTTCCATGAATGGATCCCCAACCTCAGGGTGAAGCAGATTAACAAAAACCCAACTCAGCTCCTTGGGGTGAGCTGGCATCAAGATAGAAAGCTGCAGCCAGGTATGGTGAGTTATACCTTTAATCCCAGCATTTAGTATTAAAGGTGGATCTCTAAGTATGAGTCCAGCCTGGTCTACAGAACAAGTTCTAGGACAGCTAGGGATACACAGAGAAACCCTGCCTTGAAAGCCTAACCAGCCAACCAAGTAAACAAACAAAAAGATAGAAAACTGCAGATATGCGTGGGAATGGGGGAGTTAACTTGGTGCTGTAGGGTGAGCCACAGTAGCTCAGCTCTGCATGCAGATATTACAGATGCCATTATCCTGGTTTTCATCATTGTCTACCACATAGAGAGCTTGTTAACAAATACTCTTGTAAAATCCTTACAGTTCTGCGAGGCTGAATATTATCTTCATTTTAAAAGTAAAGAGCTAAAGATCTGGGAACCCATCTGATCAGTCCACCTGCCAGTCACTCAGATAATGCAAGGCAAAGCCCGGGCTCCAACCTTGTCTCAGGACCTCTAACCTAGCAAGTTTCTCAGGAACCTGCACTGTGGGGCACAGTGGAATTTGGCACCTGCTAGTCTTTCTCTAATGCAGACTTTAGCATAAAGCCCAGGTTCCTCCTGGACTATACTGGAGTGCCCTGAGCTCAGACACTCTACCACTCACCAGAGCCAGCCCAGAGATGCTTAGGTGGCAGCACCTTAGTTGGATGCTTATACCTAAGCCTACTCTACCAGTGACTGTGACTGTGAGATCCACTGGAAACCCAACAGAAGTCAAGCTAAATGAGCATACCGGTTGGAACTGACAGGTGTGACTGGACTCTGCCCCACAGACATCTTTCCACTCTCTCCAGCTGAGCAGGGCACCTTGCAAACAAGCAGTGCCTTCTTTCCCCCACACAGCCCTTTATCCAAACTTAGACTCAAAGAGACAAACAGCATGACCTTGTTCGCCTCTTCCTGCCTGCTCTCCTCTTCCCCTGCCCACCTGCAAAGCCCTCCTACTGTAGCTTTTGCTCAGGGGACTGTAGGAAGAGGCTGCACCCTACTTCCCTGTCTCTGACTTTTCCCCACCTCACTCCTTTGGCACCACCTGCTCTCCTACTCCTGGCCTTCCCACAGCCCAAGTCTTCTGCCCCATTATTCCTCCCGAGGGATGCCTTGTCCAGTTTTACTTGAATTTGTAGTTGTCTGGCAGGAAGTAGCCCATCTTGCAATCCTGTCGAGCCCGGAAGATCTGTTTCAGCAGATTCTGCTTGCTGAAGCCATAGCCATTTAGGACACAGCCCCCAAAAAGGAGCTTCCCACCAGCAAACATCTGTTGGAAGACAGGAAAGACATGTAATAACAAACACTTCAATATAGTGACATAGTGGCATGACTGATAATGACAGCCAAGTTCCAAGTCTTAGCAGGACTGGCCACAGGCTTCTCAGAGCTGGGTTAGGTCTCAGGCCTTTGATAGCATGGGAAAGTGTGCTAGCCTCCCTCAGCAACCCAGGGACACATGATTGAGTTTAGCCCCTGCATAGGTCCTCTTAAGTCTGAGGAAAGCCCAACCTGCTCAGCTTTTGGCCCCTACTGGGGTCTTGTCAGATGTACACTTCATACTTTCCCTAGGGAGCAAAAAGGTCATGTTCTACCCTGCTCATATGACTCCTACCCACCTACCTACAGCTACCTCAAACCCACATACTGGAATGTACCATTCAGCTCATCCTATGGGATGGGGGGGGTCTCATACCCTCTACTCTCTGTGTATATAATTCTTCAACATGGACACCTGTCTAGAGATGGCTAGGCAAAGTTATTCACCATACCATTATTATGGGGAAAAAGAAAGAGAGGAAGAAGGGAGAGAGGGAAAGATCCCAACTGTCCAATAAAAGCAGCATAGATAGTGATAACAAAATAGACTCAAGTCCAGTGGTAAAGATTCTGGTGCTACAAACTGAAGATGTGAGATGGTGCTCTGTTATTTTATTGGAAAGACAGTGTCCTAAAAATATGTGTGTAGAGAAAGACAGCAAAGGCCAGATACTACAATGTCAGGTGGATGTGGCCTAGCAGGGGCTCCAGAAAGTAAGATCCGGATGGTAGGAGGCTGTCATCATTTTCTAGATTGTATACCTGACTTTTCAATAAACACATAAGGTTTATAATATTTTGGTATCATTTAATAACAATCAGATAAATAGAATTTGATTCTCTGTGTTAATGTCACCCAACCCCCCCACCCCATCTCCTGGGACGGGGAATGGGAGTCTGTTGGATGACTCTCAGTAAATCCTGCTCTCTGGGCCTCAGCATTGGTGGAGAACATCTGCAGGTTTTGTTTTTCCTCCCTTGCCCCATCTCCAATCTGGCTGAGACAGTAGGGGCTGCTGATGGATGTCTAGACCTTTACAGGACCCCTGCTCACCAAAATCATCCCGTGTACCACAGCAAACTTCTTCACCATTAGGGGTGGATCCTTCTGCAGGGGCCCGTCCAGGTCATACCGCAGTAGGCGGTAAGGATCATGCTGGCACTGCCAAATAGAGATGTGGAAACTGGTCACCCTGATGCAAGAAGATACATATTAAACTCCCTGCAGCCATCACTGTCCCCAGAGGAGGTCTCCAGATCTGCTCTGAGCCCTCTGTGGAGAAAGTCATCACTCCTCTTCATGTGACAGGCCTAGGTTTGCCCTGGGATCTGCGGAATATGGTGTCCTTCACTCTGGAAGGTCTGAGGATGAGCGTCCTGCTCCAAGTGGACCAGACTTAGGAAGCTATGTTGCACAGCCCAGAGGAGCCTTGCACCCCACCTCTCACTGGCTGTTCCTCTTGATCCCTTTGTGGTGTTTAACCATTGTGGGATGACAGCATTGATGACTAACTGTTAGCCAGAGCAGAAGCCAAGTCTGTGAAGTCCACCACTACCCTCTAAGCCTATCTGCAGACTCAATGCCATTCCCTCCATCCCCCCAACTACTTCAGGTCACATCTTGGTCCCATTCACATTTATGGCTGGGATAAGACACCTAGGCATTTCATTTCTTAGTGAACAATTAATAGCCTCAGATGAACTACAGTCAACTGTACATTCCCACAAGGACAGGGATTATATCTGCCATGAAACAGGTGAGCCCAGAGCAGGTTCTCAGTAAACATTCTCTAAACTGAAGCAAGCTGGAAATGAAATGCAGGAAACAAGTGTAGCTATGCTACAGGGCTGGGTGGAAGGCTTGTGGCTGGCTGCTCTCGGGGAAAGAGCCAGGACAAGGGCCCCGGTAAGGAAGGGAATATCTGATTTTAGAAGGCCCTTAAATGCTGAGCTCCTGAAATTGGCTGGCAGGTAGCACTCCTAGAAAGAAAGGCTAGAGGGAGTGCTCAGGCAGATTTCCCACACAAATTCAGAACTCTGCAGCAGCAGATGGGAGTAGGGCAGGGATAGTGCCACAGGCTCAAGGAGAAGGACAGCTTGGAAGAAGTCACCTAGCTCACATGTTCACATAAGTCTAGGGGTTCAGCCTTTCACCTTCTCTGACACAGTTTTTGAATGAAGGCATACTCAAGATGATGAGGCTGGACTTGGGAACAACCCTAGAGGGAGAAGGGAGGTTCCCTGTGCCCTCCAACACCCCTTAGACTTAAATCAGAACCTCAAACTGTCCTCATCCCTGCACAGGCCACCTCCAGGTATACTCAGTTGCCTGCCAAAGCCCTGAGCATCCAAGAAGCTCATTCTGACCCTAGGAGACAGAAGACATACATTCCAGAGCTGTCCTGTCTTGGCCCTCTCAAGGGCCTGCTGTAGCTGCAGCCATACTGGAAATACCTTCAGGGACTGGCTGAACCAGTAGTAGGTGTCCAGAGCCTGGCACAAGCCCAGCACATGGAGGGACTTGGGGACAGTCCACAAACATAATAATGAATTCTAAGAACATGGGTGGTGGGTACTGTCTTTGCCCTGAATATTCACACCAGTTGTGGACACAACTGTGCTAAGTGCTCTGAAAGAAAAGCACTATGCCTTGACCTTGTCTCAGTGGTCAGAAGAAGCGCCTGCCCTGATGTGGTGGCATTCATCCTGGGAGAGAAGAATGAGAAGAAGAGAGAAGATGGGACAAAATGATGCAGACAAAAGGGAGTGTATGCTAAGGCCCTGGAAAGAAAAGGAACTGTCAAGACACCCAACCCATCCTCATACAGTGGGGGTTATATTTGGTTCTGTTCCCTGAACCTGGCCCAAGGGGCCTCCTCACTGGATTCTGGACCAACCTGGATGCAAGGTGAGGAACGGCCCTGCTGTCGATGGCTATACAGTGTGTCCAGTAGCCACTGTAGCTGTGCAGTACCACTGGGATTCTGACTCGACATTATCCCGAATACCAGCACTTGGTTGGGGTCTCGGGGTGCAGACAGGAAGCGCTCTAGCTCCAAGTCGGACACCAGAGGTGCCTTCACAATACACTTGCAGCCGGCCCGGATGTCTTCCTTGCGAATGAGCCTCCGAAGCACCAGTGGGCAGTCATAGGGTGAGGCTGCCCACCTGGTGGGGCTTCGTACCTCTCTCAACTTCACTCTACAAAGAGGAGCACAGTGGTAGGACCCTGTGGGCAGGCTTCAACCTCTGCCCCTACTGCTCTTATTTCTAGACAGAAAGAGGCCCACTGCAGTTCCAGGGCTGTAGACAGATCCCAGTCTAGTCCCTCAGGGGAGGGACCCCTAACCATTCCAGGCCTCAGTTTCCTGAGGAGGCATAAGAAGTTATTCAGTTAACATTTCTGAGAGATACATGAATTCCACCCACAAACCTCTTCCCAAGTTTTTGACAGATCTAGAATCTAACAGCTCTCCACTCTCACCAACATAGTCCAGTCTCCAATCATTTCTTAAGTAGTCCCTAAGGGTCTGTGCTTCCTTCCCTGGTCTCTCTTGAAGCCACTGAAGGATTCTGTCAGAATCTGAATCAGTCTGTGGAAGCCTCCTTGGGCTTTCGAGCTCACTTTCAGCTAAGGCAGCAGCAGGCTGTATCAGATCTAGTTCCTGATTCTCATTCCCTTAAGCCTGTCTCATATTCCCCAGTACTCTGACATGGCTGCACTGAGTTCTTCTTATGCCTTTGTTCATTCCTCAGAGCCACAAGCCTCTTCTCTCACCGCCTTTACATCTATTGAAATATCGCCTTCCTGGGGACTCTCTAAGCACCCCATTGAATGTTTCCACCTCAACACTCTTCCTTGCCTATTTTATCTTTCTCTCAAGCATTGCTTACTGTTTACTCTCTAACATACTATATATTCCCCTTATTTTTATTATTATACTTTCCTGTGATACTAGAGATCTCAAGAGATTAGCTACTTTGCAGTATTTGGTTGATGGAATACAATAGGAGCACTTGGCAAACCAAAAATGCAACAGAGATTCAGTCAACACGCCAGCATTTATCAGCCACCTGCTGTGTGCTGATACTATGCAGGGATGCAGTGCTGAGTCTAAATAAGCACTACTAGGTGGAAAGTACTCTTTTTAAAAACTCCTTTTATTATTGCCGTTTTACATGTTTAATATTTCACAGGACCTATGGACCTCGAATAGGCATTTCCTTGGTTAATTCTGTAGAAACCCCACAGAATAGGCAGGCCAGAAACTCTTATTACTATTTATAGGTCAAAATACAGAAGGTTCCCTCCTATGAGGGCAATGGGTTTCCCAAGCTCAATGAAGCCTTTGAATTAGCAAGAACCAAGTCATCCTAAAAGAAGAGCAATGCCCATGATTCATCACTTGTTGTTTGGTTTTACATATATTCATTTTAATTTATGTGTGTTCTGCCTGCATATAGTGTGTGCACAGTACACAGAAGAGACCATTGGATCCCCTGGAACTGGAGTTGCAGATGGTGTGACCCACATGTGGGTGCTGGGAATCGAACTGGGTCCTCTGCAAGAGCAACAAGCACTCAACTGATGAGCCATCTCTCCAGCCACTTCTTTGTTTTTTGAGGCGGGGTTTCTCTGTGTAACAGCCAGGCTATCCTGACTTATTTTATTTTTCTGACAGGGTCTTTACAGGTATCCCAGGCTGGCTTTGAACTCATGGTAATCCTCCTGCCTCAGCCTTCTTTGTGCTGAGATTGTATCCGTACACTACCATACCTAGCTTAACAATTCCTAATTCTCCAGAGGAAACAATGCTGGTAAATACTTGCTGACCAAAGCTGGTAAGAAAATCTGGGGAAGAGGGGTGGAGCACAGTAATGGAGCACACATTTAGTATACATGAAGTACTGGATTTGATTCACAACACCAAATAAATAATAAAAATAAAGGAGAATATCTCTTGTTTAAGAACCTAAACATCCATGGGGGATGTTGAATCTATTCATCATGGTTTATACCAGAGTATATTCAAAGTGACTAAGGCTTTTAATGTGGGAGAATTTGACTTTACAATTTCTCACAATTTGTAATAGTGGCAAATAGAACAAATTATTCTGTAATTTTGGAGCAAGGAAGCCTTTTGTAACTGACTCAAAAGTCCAGAACCCAAACCAGGTATAGTGACACAAACTTGTAATCCCAATTCTTGGGAGGTAGAGGCAGGAGGACCATAAGTTCAAGATCATCCTAAACTACATAGGGAGTTCTAAGCCAGCCCCGGCTAGCAACCCTGTTCCGAATGATCAAACAAAGCAAAGGGAAAAGACCTCGGGGTAAAAGTACAAAATGCAAAGGAGAAACTGAGGCAGGAACTCCTACCCCAGCTGTTGTGAGCAATAGGCTGCTATGTGAAGATCTATTAGTGGATTAGAAAAGTCAGTATTTGGGGCTGGACAGATGACCCAGTGAGTGAGATGCTCATTGTGCAAGTACAAGGCCCAAGTTTGGGTTCCCAGCATACATTTAAAAAGCTGGGCATGGTGGAGCACATATATAACTCCAATGCTGGAGGTAGGTGGAGGCAGCTAGATCCCAGGGGCTTGCTGGACAGCTCATTCAGCTTAACTACAAGCTCCAAATTTAGTGAGAGACCGTTTCTCAGAAAGTATGGTGGACAACGATAGAGGAAGACTCTGAAGTCAGTTTGCATTGGCCTCCACATGCACTGGCTTCCACATGTACACTCACAGGTGAGTACATATGCACGCGCGCGCGCACACACACACACACACACACACACACACACAGGTTAACATCTGATAAAATGAGGACAAAGTCGTGAACTGTCAATTTACCTACAAGGACTCAGAATGAGTTCTTAAAACTTGGGAAACAGGGAAGTCACCAAAAATATCAGGAAAGGAACACATCAAAATTATTCTTCCACTAGAGTTGGCAACAAATTTGAGAAAAGAGAGAGGGAAGGAGGGAGACTGGGCAGGCTGGCAGACAAACTGACCAAAACCAATCAAAACTAACCTTAGCAAAGCTCAGGAACCAGAAACTGCCAGGCTTTGGGGCAAGGAAGCTACCATTTTAACTTTCTTCTCTGTCACTCATTCCTGGCTTGTGTGCTGTTATAAGGTGGGCAATGTGGACTCAGCCGTGGCTGGGTGGCTGACCTACCTGGGTTCTCTAAGGGATTAGCTCAGGACCTGCCTTGAGTAGCCCCAGCAAACATTTGTTGAAAGCACTTGTCACAGGCAGTTTCATCTGTCAACTTGACACCAGGGAAAAGAAATTGCCTCTATAGAATGGCCAGGGCATGTCTGTGGGAGTTTTTCTTTATTGCTAATTGATGTGGGAGAGCTCAGCCCATGGTGGCTGGTGCCATCTCTAGGCAAGAGAACTTGGGCTGTCTAGGAGTGGTGGCTGAGCAATCCAGGGGAAGCAAGCCAGTAGGCAGTGCCCTTCCATGATCTCTGCTTCTGTTCCTGTCTTCCCTCAGAGGTGAACTATGACCTGTACGTCAAATAAACCCTTTCCTCCCTGTGGTGGTTTGAAGGAAAATGACCCCCATAAGAAGTGGCACTATTAGAAGGTGTGGCTTTGTTGGAGTGGATGTGTCCTTGTTGAAGGACTTTGTGTGTGTGGAGGAGGATGGCTTTGCGGGCTCCTCTGCTCAAGCCGCACTCAGTATGGTACACCGTTCACTTCCGTTGCCTGTGGGTCATGATATAGATCTCTCAGCTCCTTTTCCAGAACCATGTCTGCCTGCACGCTGCCATTTCCTGCCATGATGCTAATGTATTAAAAAGCTCTTAAACTGTAGGCATCCAATTAAATGTTTTCCTTTACAAGAGTTGCCATTGTCATAGTGTCTTGTCAGAGCAATAGAAACCCTAACTGACACTCCCCCATTTTATTTTGGTCAGTGCTTATTACAGCAACAGTCAGTGCTAACTAGAACATACACAAAGGCAAAAGAAAAAAAAAAAAGGTCAGATATGACTTCTGTGCAAAGGAAAAACACGTGGGCATAGACTTAAAAAAAAAAAAAAAAAAACACCAGGAAAAAAACAGAAGATGAGGGAAGGAGGTAGGTAAATGGCAAAATGGAGGTTTTCCAGTCTCTCAAGGACACTGAAGGATCTTGATGCCGGGTTGGGAAAGGCCCAAGAACACCTCATCTTTTTCACCTCTGGAGCTTTGCAAGTCTAGAGTGATAAAGTCAATACACAGCTATGGATGGCCTGGGAAAAGGCTCAAGGGGGAATGTCTCAACACAGAGCTATACACAACAGCATCAATTTTCTGGGCCTTAGCTTCAGGGGCTTTTATGTTAAGTCAGTAGCCGATTAATATAATCACATTAACAAAACAGTACAGAAAGAGACATACACAAATATGACCCATTGTTTTTCTTTAGAATGGTGAAAAGACAAGTTAACGAAGAAAAGGATCTATTTTTTGATGCTGTGGAAAAAAATACATAGCCATGTATAAAACAGACAAATTTCAGCTCATACACTATCCCTTATACAAAATTATCTCAAAATAGATGCAATGTGAAACATAATCTAGGGGTTTGGGAAATGGTTTGATAAGTAAGAGTGTTTGTTATACAAGCATGAAGACTGGAGTTAAAATCTCTAGTACATAAATAAAAAGTGAGGCATGACTACAAGCTCCTATAGCCACAGGCTATGAGGGAATGGAGACAGGATTGCTGGGGCTTTCTGAATGCCTTGTTTCTGATGAACTCAAAACACAGTGAGAAACCCTGCTCCAAGGAAATAAGGCAGAGAATGATAGACTATTCAATAATAGGACATTCAATGCTCCCCAAAGTATGCATATGCCACCACAGTTACACACACACACACACACACACACACACACACACACATACACACCATACTCTATACTTTTTTTTTAAAGAAAGAAGAGCAACATATCACTGGTAATAATGTGGAGCAACTGGAGCCCTCATACACTGCTGCTAGGAGCTGAGCTTGCTAGACCCACTGGAGAAGACCAACAATCTACACAGGAAGCTGAGCATGTCTATTCATACTCTGGTTCACAGTTTTACACCTTAGCATTTGCTGATCACATACAAGACAAATGCCAACAGCAGCACAATTTTGCAGCACACAAACTATGAACAGCTAAACACCTATATCTTTAGAAAGGATGGTTTGTGGCATGATCACAGGGCAAATTGTTATAGTGACGAGAAAGAACAAATGAGTGCTGTACATAAGGATATGGGTGAATCTCAAATCATAACACTGAAAACAAACCACATCCGTCCATTCAAATAAAGTTAGAACAAAAGTTAGTCTGTGGTGTTCACTCAATGTTTGGCCTGGGTAGGAAGGAGTCAAAGACTGGATTAGCAGAGGGACTTCTTAGGAGTGGGTAAAGGTCTATTCCTGATTTGGTAGGAATAGACAGGGTCTGTGCAGTTGAGTCATGTGAATAGAATTTTCTCATTCTTTTGTACAAATTTCACATTTTAAAATATATACTTTAAATTATACTTATTGATATATTTTGTGAACATGCATTGCCATGGCACACATGCATGTAGAGGTCAGAAAACAACTTGTGGGACTCAGTTCTCTTCTTCTACCATGCAAGTTCCCAGGGATTGAACTCAGGTCATCAAACTTGAAAACAGGCCCCTTACCCACTGAGGCATCTCACCAGTCCCAGAATATACATATTTTAAGTTTTTAAAATTAAAATCAGATAAATCTAATGAGCTTCCACTTCCAAATATGGTATGGCATTTCTAGCATAGCAAGGCTACTTGATCAATATCCTGCTTGCTCCTGTGTTCTCAACTAATGCTACGGTTTTATTCTTTAAAAAAGATTTTTAAAAATTACATTGATTGAATGATTGATTGTGTGTGTGTGTGTGTGTGTGTGTGTGTGTGTGTGTGTATTTGTGTCACAGCACATGTGTGAAGGTCAGAGTAAAACTTTTAGGAGTCAGTTCTCTCCTACTATGTGGGTTTCAGGGATCAAACTCATTATTTTAGGCTTGGCAATAAGTATCTCTACTTGTTGAGCCATCTTGCCAGCCCCATGGCCTCCTTTGTGATACCCCAGCCACACTGCTCTTACTAGCTGTCACTCACAATCAAGCTTATTCTTGTCCTCTGGGGCTCTGTGATGGGCTGCTTGACAGATTTCCTGGTTCTCTTACTGAAGGCAGCCTTATCAGTCCACTTTACAGTCACTCTGTCCAGGAATGGGCTAGTCTTTTCTACAGTGGACTAGAAAGTAAGTATCCCACACTTCAGAGGCCTGATGAGTTCTGTCATGAGGACTCAACATTTCCATGATATGGGAAATGGCAGATGTGGTTGTGCTCCAATAGAATTTCATCAATGAATACTGATAAGTTTCCTCTCATCTCATGCCATAAAATAGCCATTCTTTGGTTTCCCCTAAAGTATTTTTTAAATAATTTATTTAACTTTATTTTATGTGCATTGGTGTGAAGGTATCAGATTCCCCTGGAACTGGAGTTACAGACATTTGTGAGCTGCCATATGGGTGCTGGGAATTGAACCCAGGTCCTCTGGAAGAGCAGTCAGTGCTCTTAATCTCTGAGACATCTCTCCAGCTCCTTTCCTAAAGTATTTTTAAATGAATTAAAAATTAGGCAGCCAGGCTAGATTTGGCCCATGACCAGTTCATTATGCCACACTGTTCTGAAACCTTTTCTTATTAGCCCCATGGTCATCTGAAATGACATCATTTTTGGGCCAATGAGATGGTTTATCAGGTAAAGGTGCTTGTGGCTGACAACTCAAGTTCAATTTCTGGAACCCACACAGTGGGAGGAGAAAACTGACTCCCTTGAGGTATCCTCTGATCTCCACATGTACCCCATGGCATGTGTACACCATATGCATGCACACGTATCCACAATAAATGATCAAAAGTAAAAGGTACCAATTAAATACATGTGTATCTCCTATCCTTCTCCACCCCTAGAGTGAGAGCTGCAAAGAGAGAGGCTTGTGTGGTTTCCACTGCATTTGTACTGCCCATCACATCCCCTGGCTCTACAGAAGAAATGAAGGATTAAGCCAACCTTGATATGACTTTGGCTTGGAGTTTCTTGCTCTTCTTTTGAACAGGGATCAAGGGCATGTGTACAGGCTCTTCCTTCAATGTGTCCTCAACTGAGGAATCTGGTTTGGCTGGCTGGGATCGCACAACGTTTTCTACTTGGTGTAAACTTGTCTTACGGGCCCGTTCAGGATGAGACACGGATTTTAACTTGATCCAACTAGCTTCTGTGTCTTCCTTCATGTGGGTGGGATATTCTATGGTGAACAGACCTGTCAATAGGAATGCTGTAGTCACTTTTCCAAACTACCAGGTCACCTCTGCTCTTGCTTCTTGGCTCGTACCAACTGGACCATTGAAGTCTACTTTAGTTCACACCTATGGACCCCTCACTGGCTCCTGTCCAGTCTGCCTTGCTCTGCATCTAGCACACTGCCCTAGTCAGCAGTCAGCATGAAAAAGCACATCTCATGTCTACTTGTTTTGCATGACCCAGCTTCAGTCTTACTTTTCTCAGATGCCCTGTATTTCACTTAGCTCTATGTTCTTCATAGCACTCAACAGTGAGGTTAGGTATACCATGTGTTCCCTTTGCTGAGAATACTGTCTCCTCAGGTCTCTACATTGAGGCTAATTTCATCCTCTGCTTTGTTGTGTTATGGGATTTGGGGGTTTATGCCTTGCTTATTATACTTAGTCCAGTAGAAATTTGAGGCCAGAGACCTACTGCTCCATTTACCTAGCAAGCATTTATTGAATGAGGATGCTAGGCATTAAGACAACCCAAGACAGGTCTTTGCCACCAAGAACAGATGGGATGGGCAGACAAGGAGATAAATATTTACAAGGCTATGTAACAAGATGGCCTTGTATATATATATATATATACATATATATATATATATATATATATATATATACACAATGTATATAAAATAACTATGTGCATTGGTGTGAAGGTATCAGATCTCCTAGAACTAGAGTTACAGACAGTTGTGAGCTGCCATATGGGTGCTAAGAATTAAACCCGTACAGCCTTACCTGGGCACTTCTCTGGTTAAGCCCAAGTTTCCCTATCTGTATAGTGATGGCCAGTGCTCTTAACCACTGAGCCATCTCTCCAGTCCTAGTAACAAGATTTATAACTAGAAAAGTGTTGAGAACCATCAGAGCAGCTATGGGAACCATCAGAATGTGGTGGGGGGAGACCCACTTTATGAGGGAAGTCAATGAAGGCTCACAAAGGGAGGGCACAAACAAACTAAGCTGCTCCTGCAAGGAGAGATTCCTTGGAGAAGCTGTGTGGGAAGCATGGCTGCAGGCCCAGTCAGGATGGAACAGAGTAGGATTTGGTAGCACCTTGTTTCCAAGGGCTATCAGCAGATCAGAGAGCACAGACATGAAAGGCTCCTGAAGCCTCTCACACTGGGCCCAAGAGTGTCTTGTGTCTAGCAGGGGCAGTTTTGTGAAGTGACTAGATTTTTCTCTCCTTCTGAGACCATCCACAGAAAAGAGAGGAGCAAATGCCAGTCATAAAGATGACAGATGGTACAAGGGACAAAGCAGAAAGGACCCAAAGGGATGCATAAAGTCTATGAGAGCTAGGAAAGTAACATAATTGCACGGAGACACTACAGATGCATGGGGGGAGAGCTCAGAAATGAAAGTTATCTCAGTACCAGCTGTAGAAAATACTGGGTGCTCCTCCCTCTCGGGAGGCTGAAGCTTAAGAGGTGGAAAGACTGAACTTTGAGACAGGTGACCCAAGATTTAAGAGGCCTTCTAGTAGGCCTTGCACCTTTCTCCCCTTACCTGCTGCCAGCAACACGGAGTTCATAAACTGACTCACAGCCTTCTGAAACCGCTTCTTGATCTCAGCGAGGGCTCTGTTTATCTTTAACATCTTATCATCCATGGTACTGATTCTGCGAACTGGCTGAAAGAAGGCAAAGGGGTTGGGGGTAGTGGTTGCCTGCCCTCAGGGAGCTGCCTGCCTGTTCAGTGGGACTGACTCTGTTCTGAAGGTTAAGTGGCTATTCCTTTTGCCTAGAATACATCTCTGTCCCTCTTGGCCCAGTCCTTCCTGAGTCAGGGCCAGACCTAACTCAGATTCTCCTATTTGGAGGACTTCTCTGATCTCCACTGTGTAGTACTACCATTGACTCCCATTGTGCTATGTGGCTGCAAGACAAGTTAGCACTTAACTAAGCAATTAGGTGCATGTGTTCTGTCGCCCTAAACTGCAAGCTTCTGGGAGGTGAGGACAGTGCCTTGGTGTCCTCTGATTTCACACTGAAGGTGCTCAGTAAATGTTACTGCTTTATGAATGACTGGATGCAGAGAGGCTCCTCTGGAGTGTCCACTGTCAGTCTCTCCCTGCAGGGAGAATCTCTTAGAATGCATCTCTTAGAATTCCTCCACCCAGCCAGCTACCAGAGGACTGGCTGTGGACAACCCCTAGCTGAAGAACCATGCTTGGCTAAGGTTACAGAGACCAGTGGGTCATCTACTGCAGGAAGGCCCAGGCCTTTCACCTGAGTTAGGATGACTCTGATGGGTCATCTGGACTTCCTGTGGTATCCCAGATGCCTTTGCTTCATCCTCCCTGAAATTCAACCTTTGTCTTCCCTAATCCTCAAAGCAGTCATTTCCTGTAAGCTTCTGTGTGCCAGTCTTGTTTTCTGAGGAAGCTGCTCTGAATAGCCGAGTGCCTCCATGGTACTGCAAAACCACGCACAGAATCCAGAGTTTACTGCAGTCAGTCTTTTTCTCAGGAAGCCTTCCCTTGATTCCTCAGCCAGTGGCACTTGTTCTCTAACGTCCACAACTACCCATCCCCATTATGTTTGCCTGGGTCTTGTTCAGTTTTTCACTCCCTTTATCCCTTAACTTGGCTGGATCCTAAGGAGCAGGCTCTATGCTTTTTCTATTGCCCTCTTAAAATAGTGGAAGTATGAGAAAGCTTCTTCTGTAGAATTTAAGCCTCAGGTGGAATGAGTAGACAGATATTCTGGACAAGGACTAAGCTGGTCTTTTTCCTCTGTAGACAAGATCCCTGTAAAGGATTGCCCCAGTTACCAGCAAAGTCTCAGCCTCCTGAGCAGTCCTAGCCACTGCTTCTGGGCTTTATTTATTTATTTATTTATTTATTTATTTATTTATAATTTATATCCACCCTGGTTCCAAAAAGGATATGAAGCGGCACTCTGGGCTAATAAAGCATTTAAGTCAAAGCATCGCCTTGCTTCCAAAGTGCTGCCTAGATAGGAATATTTAGTGTGAAGTCAGGCCTCAGGGCTGTAAAAGCTGGGACTGCCATTCTGCCTGTCGCTATGATAGGTGACTCTCTCTGGGATGGGTGTCTGGGGAAACCATTTAACAAGCTTCCCAATGTCAGAGACACTACCCTCCCCCAGTCCCAGCCTTTGTAGATGGCCATACATTTTTACAGAACCAGAGCCAAACAAGAGCACATAGTGTGTTTGAAAGGGCTGTGAAAATCCTAGGATGGAAATAAAGTCAGGTTGGCCATCACTATACAGATAGGGAAACTTGGGCTTAACCTGAGAAGTGCCCAGGTAAGGCTGTATGGTTTCTTCCTAACCTGGGCTCTTTGCCAGACCCAATACTCTGAAAGTTTTCTTGGTCCTTGAAACTTTGTCAGTTCCAAGGATCTAAGATGACCAGTTATCTGAGCCTGGGAAGTTCATGCAAAAATAACTTGAAATGCTGAACCTGTTGTTCAGGACAAAGTTTGGAAATCCTGTTGCTCCCAGGAAATGATTACATTTATTCATTTATTTCTGTTCATCTTGTTATAAATGTACATTATAGAGCACATTGTGCATTTTTAAATAGAAGCAATTTCAGACAATGCTTTTCTTGGCAAGCCAGTCTTTGCTGTCACCAGTGTTTGTCATCTATAATGCAGCACTTTTCTGAGGCCATTTTAATGCATTGGCCTGTTTATCCCTATGTTAAATGCCCCCAAGATAGTCATGTTCTTTGAGTTATTGTGTCATTTTAAGTAACTTTTCACCCTTCTACTGCATTTTCAGACTGTGCCTTTGTGAGCCCCTTGATGGAAACACTACCCTCGACATTTAGCACAGTCTAGGAGAAATACAACGTGGACTAGCTTAATGCTTAGCAGCCACATTCAAAACATCCTAAAGTTATAACTAATTCTAATAATATATTTATTTTACTCATTATATAAAAATGATCATTTAACACACAGTGAAAATTGGCAATTACCAAGGAATTTTCATTCTTTTCCCATTAAGTCTTTGAAACACAGAATGTACTTTTTTTTGGTGGGGGGGGGTTTCCAGACAGGGTTTCTCTGTGTAGCTTTGGAGCCTATCCTGACACTCACTCTGGAGACCAGACTGGCCTCGAACTCACGGAGATCCGCCTGCCTCTGCCTCCTGAGTGCTGGGATTAAAGGCGTGTGCCACCAATGCCCGGCCAAAATGTACTTTTTACTGAGATCTTTGATCAATATTTATTCATTGCACTTCAAAGGTTCAACAGCCCTGTGTGACTTTTACTTGTGTCCTCCATATTGAACAGCACAGCTTTGGGCATCTAATTCTGGCTCACTACAGTTGGTAAGGCAAAGGTAAGGCAAAGGTAAGGCAAAATCACATTTGAATTATTTTTCCCAGGCTTAGAGTGTGCACACAGAATTGAGGGTCATTTCATTCAGCTCTTTGGGATGGTCTTTAGGTTGATTATGTCATGGTTCTCATGAAACACTCAGAGATCATCAGACATAGTATGCATTTAACAATGACGATTAGAGCAAGAACCTGGAACAAAATGGACATGGGAGAGGCATCAACATGCAAGCTTATTCATCTCAGCTCATGCATCTAGCCTGCCTGCCTGCTACCTTTGCTTCCTTCCTTCCTTCCTACCTTCCTTCCTTCATTTTTTGCTGGGGATGGAACCAGCCTCCCATGTGCTAGTTGAGCACTCACTCTGTACTCTACCTAAACCCACTGTAGTTATAATCCTTAAAACTGATATAGCTTTAGCTCACAGGCACCTGAGTGTCTTTGGTGTTTCCATGAGAACCTTGATGAACACTGTCTCTCCTTCATGTCTCAGCAGCTCCCATATGCCTGTCACATGACACTAACCAGGCTGGACTCATAATTGGTGTGTGTACTTTTGTCCCTTCTATTAGACTGAAAGTTCTAGAGACTAGAAAGAGGCTTCATTTCTATACCTCCATCAGCTACTGTGGCACACTACAAGTGTTAATGAATGTTTGCTGAATTATTTAATAAATCAATGAAAGAGAAATGCTGCTGGAACGAAAATACAATGGGTAAAGCAGGTATGAGGATTTCTTCTGGGGAGAGTATGCATCTCTTTCATATACTGTGGCTCTTTCTACACTGAATGCCTGCCCCATGTCTTTGTGTAATTCAAGAGTAGTCAGCTATCTCTGACAGCCTGAGAGCTTATGGTAATATCCTTATAATGGTAATATCCCATAGCTTAAGAGCGTCTTGGTCGTGTCCTTAGAATTTATTATCCCAGCCAGGACACCATTGAAGGGGAAATGGATACTATTTGTAGTTTCTGTAGGTAGACAAGTATAAACAGGGACTGGCACTGGGCAAACTACATCTGTTCCTAGAATCCAATCCCAGCAAAGCATCAACAGGGGAATTACAGTGATCTGTCTCATTCACACCAGCTCTCGGTTGTCCAATTTTATTTCCCATGGCAAGTATTGCCTTTTGGACACCTCATAGTTTAGGGAAGACATCCTCTTCATCTGCTCTGTCTTTTCTATGATGTTGATTTGGCCCAGGCCACAGTCCAACCAATGAATGGACAGATTGGACTTGAAAAGATTCTGTTGAATTTTATCCCCTCAGTAAATAATGGGAAATAAAGCCACCTTTGTAGGGCGAAAAGCTGACCACACCAGCTTGGGGCTGGATACAGGTAACTCTGACCACACCCAAAGAGTGATGTAGCAAGGTTTTAACTATCAGAAAGGCATGCACGAAGCCCTCTTTTTCACTCTTCTGCCTGGTTGAGTGGACTAGCAGGCAGCCAGTGTAAATCTGGTCACTGGCTCTGTTGCATGAGTACTTTCTTAATAAGCCATCTGTTATCAATCTAGTTCTGACTCCACATTGCGTTCAGCTTTACATCTCTCTTTGCTTGTGGGATCTATATTCTCAGTTATGAGCATCTCCTCAGATACCTTAACTTGAAGGTGCTCAGTCCCTTGTGTAATTGGTATGGGATTCATCATCACATATGCACATCTCCTGTGTCTTTTAATCATCTCTAGATTACTTGCCATACTAACTAGTACAATGCAGGTCTTTCACTAGTCATCGCTCCACTGTGTTCAGGGAGTGAGGCGTAAGCAGTCTGTGTGTGCTTAGTTCAGGCACAGTACCTTTTTCTGAGAATTTTCCATTCTCTTAAATATGAGGATATGGAAGAGCCTTGCATAGGAGGCAGTGGGGGGAAAACCCCTGAGCTATGGCATGGCAACCTTTGTTGAGACGCCTGGGTCAGGTCTAGATGCCCTGCCTGCTTTGCTCTACTCATCTACTTTGCCTTACCCGTTTGTCATGCGCCGTGGCATGGGTACAGCTTTTGGGCGACACACTGATTATTACCGTCTCATTCATAGAGGTGAAGGTGACAGTGATGGAGTCCTGTCCCAAGACTGTTAACTTCATTTGCTCATTCACCTGCAGATAAAGAAACCAGCACTTGTGGATTCCTGCCACTTCCAAGCCCAAGGCACAAATCCTTTTTGGAGCTAAGATTTGTAAGCTCTTTCTGGGCCTTTTGTTAGAACTTTCATGGAGAAGACAGAATACCAGTGTCCTTTTGGAGATTTACCGAGAAAGTAAGCAATGCCTTCTTTGCCTGTTCCTTTCCTCCCTTCCTTCCAACTCATTGTTGGAAACAGCTGTGAAAGCAGCACAGGTGAATCAGCTTGAGTCCTGTAGGCTGCACTGGGATGCCAGCTTGGATCCTGGGTTAGACAGCTGTGACTACTCAGGCACCAACGGATTTGACTCTTGTTCTTTTAGCAAGCTGTTCAGTCTCTCTCAATCTCAAACTCTTCAGCATGAAGTAGTCACGGGGCTGCTGTTCAGATGAGGTTTTTAATAACAGGAGTCTTTTTTAAACCATAAATGTTCCTGCTCCTCATAAGAGAATGGTGCGAGAGACTGCAGAGCAGTGCACAGCCTTAAGAACCGAGTCAGCTCTCTAGCTCTGATCTCTACCTCTTGTTAACCTTTCACATTGAGACTGAACTGAGCATTCCAGCTCTCAGCCTAAAATCTAAGCAGTTGACCCTACTTCTAGTAGAGCTAAACCAACCCCTAACAGGTTGACCCTCCCACAGGTAACTAAAAAGTTGAAGAGGAAAACAAAAAACCCCAAAATAACTACTTAGTGGCTCAGAAGAGTGAGCAAAGCCAGGCAGACTTTGAAGGGCCAAAACTTAATAAAGGATGAGCATGAGAGGAACTTTTGTCTCAAAGCTGTAGCCTTGACTGTAGAGGCCACAGTCAAGGCTAAAACTACCATCTTCTGGTGAAGGAATCCAAAGAACAGAACAGAGTCACAGTAAAGTATACAAAGAGGTCTGGAAGGGACTGAGTCTGAGGAGAGCCTAGAATTCTATGTACAAACTTTCCCACATCTCTGGCCAGTCTCTGAACCCTGCTCGAGAAGACAAGTCTCAAGACAGCTTACAGGTAGAGAAGTTTAAAATGGTGTGACTTGAGGTTATGTCTACTGCTGACAGAGAAAAGGACTTGGCTTCAGCCTGACCAAAGTTCTTTGCCTTTTAGAACAGGCACATCCAATACCATTCTCAGAAAGGCAACAGGATTTCAAGATTCCACAGTATAACTGTGGCGGTCTGTAACCCAAAATTCCATAGTAACAGAGGGACTAGTGAATCATGAGCCAGTCTCAAGGCAACAGATCATTAACTGAAGCTGACCATGTTTGGCACAACCAGGACACAGAAATATTCACACATACTCTGAGACACCTGATGTAATAATATTCAAAGATGCTGTGAACTGTTAAAAGGGAAGTTCTCTGCAAAAGGATAAAAATATATATAAAGAGAATTCTAGAATACTGAAATTTAAACTTTTCATAAGGTTATCATAAAAGCAAAAAGGAGATGACAAGAAGTCAGAGAACTTGAAGACAGATCAAGAGAAATTACATGATCCTGGAAAGTAAAGAGACAAAATTAGAAACACAACAAAAAAGAGCTTGAGAGACCCATGGGATAGTCAGGAATTAAAAGCATTTACTACTCTTCCAGTTCCCAGCATCCACACTAGGTATCTCACAACTGCCTGCTAGGGGATTCAATGCCCTCTCTGGCCTTCATGGACATCTGCACACAATCGTGCGCGCACACACACACACACACACACACACACACACACACACACACACCTTAAAAATATACAATACATATAATTGGAGACTCTAAAGAAAAATAGAAAGTCTCAGACACACTTGTAATTTGTATTGTTCTAGAAATGATAAAAGATTTTCCGAATTTGATTAAATGAATTTACATATACTTACAATTTAAATGTCTCAAAATTGAATAGGATAGGATAAACATGACAATCATTCTTAAACAAATCATCAAACTTTAAGTGATAAAGACCACTTTGACTAAAAGCAAGCTTGGGAGGAAAGGGTTTGACTCACATGTCTCAATCACAGTCCATCACTGAGGGAAGCCAAAACAGGAACTCAAGCATGGCAGGAACATGGAGACAGAAGCTGAAGTAGAGGCCATGGAGGAATACTACTTACTGGGTTGCTCCTCATCACTTGTTTAGCTTACTTTCCTTTCTTTTAAATATTTATTTTTATTTTATATGTATCAGTGTTTTACCTGTATGTATGTCTGTATACATGTGTGTATATTGTTCCATGGAGGCCAGAAGAGGGAGAAGGATCCTCCGTAAGTGGAGTTACAGATGAATGTTAACTGCCATATGGGTGCTGAGAATCAAACTCAGATCTTCTGGGAAAGCAGCCTGTGGTTTTAATCACTGAGCCATCTCTTCAGTCCTTCAGCTTTCTTTCTTATACAACCCAGGACTACCTTTCCCAGGGATGGCAATGATTGCAGTGTGTTGGGTCCTCCCACACCAATCATTAATAAAGAAAATACCTCCCACAAACTTGCCTACAGGGCAATCCAATATGAAAGTCAGTTCCTCTGGGCTGGAGAAATGGTTCAGTGGTTAAGAACACTCACAAATTGCTCTTCTGAAGGCCCTGAGTTCAGTTCCCAGCAACTACATGGCAGCTCACAACTGTCTGATAACCTCTTTTGGTGTGTAGGTGTACATGCAGGCAAAGTACCCATATACATTTTAAAAAAGTCAATTCCTCAATTAAGATCCCCTCTCTTCCTAGATATGTCTAGGTTTGTGCCAAAGTGACAAAAACTAACCAGTACCCTAGAAACTAAGAGAAAACCTTTAAAAAGTAGCAATCAGAGGAAACAGATTTGGGTAACTACAGATCAGACTCTCAACCTAAAATATGGAGGGATGGCACAATGGACACTATTTTTAAAGTGTTAAAAGAAAAAAGAAAGCCAACCCAGAATCTCATATCCTATAAAAATATCCCCTAACAATGACATTTTTTCACATGAAAATAACAGCAAACTTGTTGCCAGATGATCTGTGTTTATAAAAATGCCAAAGAAGTTCAGCAAGTTGAGGAGAAATAATACCAGAGAGTGGCTTGGATTTGGAAGGCAGAATGAAGGGAGTTAGAAATAGCCAGTGTCTGAGTTAAAACTGGTTCAAGACAGCATGCAAACTCCCCAGAGCCAGGTACCTGGTGTCTGTCATTCCACACTATGTCATCTGCTCCTTTTGCCCCTTCTTCCACAGGAAGCACATATGAACCCTTAAAGGGTGCCACACCAGTTTCCCCCAACACAAAGCTTTTAGGAATAATGTTCAGTCTTTCATTTTATCTAGAATCCCCCCTTTCCCCCACCTCTGCATCATACCCTGTCACTCCATGTTATAACTCATGGGCCACTTTCTATTCCAGGCTACTCTCTGACTGCATAGACCTTTGCTGTGCAGGTCCTGGGTGAGAGAAAATAAGGCATAGTGCTAAATAGATGGGCATGAGGGAGCACACCTGTAATCCTAGCACTCAGAAGACAGAGCAGAGAGATCCGAAGTTAAGCGCCGACCTGTCTGCACAGATAGGCATTATTGTGCAGCAGTTTCCTCTGAACTGAAACACTGTCCTTTTGAGTCATTCTGACTTTGTAAGTAATTCTCATGCATACACTGGTAAGTAACTCCAGTAAACTCATTTGTTTGTCAAGCCCGTCTGTGGTAGAACCATTCCTTTGGTCATGCATTCATGCCCTATTTAGGGTGAATAGACATTTGTTCACATCTTCTCAGGAAGGTCATATAATGGATACAAAAAAAAAAAACCCTCTAAGGTCAGCAATATGGCTCAGTTGAGAAAAGGTGCATACTGACAAGACAAATTCAAGTCTTGGGACTCACACAACAGGAGATAATGAACTCCTACAAAGTTGTCTCCTGACCTCTGCCTGTGTGTTATGGCATGCCCTCGTGTGTGTGTGTGTGTGTGTGTGTGTGTGTGTGTGTGTGTGTGTGTGTGTGTTTATTCTGTTTTTGTGCCTCTGCTGGCACAGCTAGCTGTCTGATTAGACAAGTTTTGCTTATTGAAGGTAGAATGTCCTAACGGATACCCATAATGTTCCCTTCTGTAAACATGCTTAACCACAATGAAAATTTCCCTCCATGGTCATGAAACACAAAGAATACCTGCATATAGCCATGTAGGTAAGAAATTGCAAAACTGATGTAATGGGCAGCTGGACTTGCAGAACACAGGTTCAGTCCAGGATAGATAGCATAAAAGTGAGCCTAAGTTCTCCAACTCTTGAAGTATTGCTTGGTTCTTTACTAGCAAGTTTTCTATAACACAAAATAAATGTAATAAAATTTCTAAAAAAAAACCCTAAAATTATTAAAAAATAAAGTTGTCAGCCGGGTGGTGGTGGCTCACGCCTTTAATCCCAGCACTCAGGAGGCAGAGGCAGGTGGATCTCTGTGAATTCGAGACCAGCCTGGTCTACAAGAGCTAGTTCCAGGACAGCCCCCAAAGTCACAGAGAAACCCTGTCTCGGGGAAAAAAGAAAAAAAAAACTGTCAATTACTATAAATGTTGTTTCATTAAATGTTTTACAATAAAATGCAAAAATATAAATAAAAATCAAACGGAAAGGATGTTGCCATGAAAGATCAGTAAAGCAGTCCACAATTGCTACAGGCTGATGAAAAGCAAGTAAGCCTACTCTGGATCCCTATTGCCCAATTTATGACCTCTGAACTGGGGCAGTGCTGTCTTACAGGTACTTACCTTTTGATGCTGAGTAGCCTGTGGAAGCCACCCCCTACCCATAATGCCCATGTACCTTGTATTCCAGAGAGAGCAATGTCTCAGTCTTGTTAGCCCAGCTCCACCTATGGACTATGTAACCCTTCTGGTCATTTGTGATTCCACCTTCTTCATCCAAAACCAAGACATATGGACAGCTGGGAAATACAGAAGATAGTAACTCCTTATAGGCCCTGAAAGGTCTCATCACTATAGGCTACAGTCAGGCTACAGATCCTGGGTGTCTGTCCTGACCAGTAGATTAATCCTTATGGGTTCATAATGTGATGCCATTATTAGGAGGTAGTGAAAGACAAGAGGAAGCTTAGGTGGAAAAAGTTAGCCACTGAGTTGTATCTCGAGGAGGGCTGTATTTTTGCTCTGATCCCTTGCTGTAAGCTCCTTTCTTTATTTCCTATGTCACTATGATGTGAAGTACTCTAATCCACTGTGATATGACAAACTAACAGCTCTGAAACTGTAAACCAAAATAAATTTTTCCTTCTTTGAGTTGTTAATGTCAAGTAACTTGCCGCAGTAATGGCTAAAGTGATTAATACACCACCGAATTGTTTACTCAGTCCTAGTGTAAGACATTTTTTCACTAAGGAATTCTTCCAGAGTTGAGAAGTGGGGATGTGGCTCAGTAATTGCCTAGCATTTATGAGGTTCTGGTCCTCAGCACTGAAAAACAATAACAACAAAAACCCTGTGTATCAGCCAGTCAGTGGTGGTGCCCATCTTTAATCTCAGCACTTGGGAGGCAGAGGCAGGCAGAGCTGTGTGAGTTTGAGGCCAGCCTGGTCTACAGAGCAAGATCCAGGATAGTCAGGGCTGCACAAAGAAACCCTGACTCAAAAAACAAAAACAAACAAAAAATAAACCATCCTGTGTATCTGACCAAGAATGGAGATCTTAGTGGGGGACTTAGACTGGGTTCCTTCTCACTGTGGAAAGTGAAGCATGCACCCAGCAGCTGGGCCTCAAAGTACCACATGTCTCTACAGGCACTGTTTCACCCTGCCTCAGTGTCTCCCTAGACACCTTTAACTAGGAACTTTTAGTCACCACCTTATACAACCCTACCAGTTACCTCAAGGGCTACTTCATGAGGCTAGACTTCTCTTGACCTACTCACCAGTTCTTCAGGTTGTAGTAAACACAGCCCTGGCCTTCAGAAGTGAACAGAGCCAGGACGGTGTTAGGCATGTCGTTAAAGAGGCAGGTGATAGGTTTCCCTCTGCAGCACGTAGGAATCTGAAGCATGGCGATGTTTCCGGAGGGATAGCTGGCAGACATAGTCAAGTCAAACTAACAGAGAACTCTCCAGGTGTTGGCTATCAGGGTCACCACAGAAACAAGACTCCAAATGAAAGGAGTCTTCTGCCATGCATTGTTCTCTTCTTGCAAAGATCCTGACTGTGCTTTGCATATGTTACAATTAAATAATTATGGAACCCAGACATGCTCCAGGTCCTTCTTATATACTAGCTTATGAGATGTGGTCCTTTCTCCATTTCACATGTCAGAGTTTTCAAAGCTCTAAATGGTACTGGGGACATAGACTTTTAGTGCTAAAACATGAAGGTCTTGGGAAAACCAGGTGAAGAGGTCACCCCATGTCTTTTACCACAAGCAAGTGACAGACCAGAGCATGATCCCCAGTACCAGCAGTATTTCTGGCACCATCAGGATCCCCCCACTTCTGGAGAATCTAGTGAAAAAAAAAATATGTTCTCTCTGACCTTTCCCTATCTCAAGAGGCCCCAAGAAGCACTGGTTCTCAGAAGAGCAGTATTGGCAGCCGCTTGTCTGTATAGAATTGTAGAAGCATAACTCCAGGCAGGAGGACTGTAGTGACTGGCGCTGCAATCTGTCCTCCTAAACATTCCCCACCAACCAAAGCAAAACAGAAATGGAAAGAGGGAGGGTGATAAGCAGGTAGAGATGACACAGAATGACCAATCAGAAATTCTAGAGCTGTGTAGGTAGTACAATGATTGAAGCAAAGATTTCACTAAACAAATAAAGCAAGTTAAAACAATAAAAGGAAGCTGGGCGTTGGTGGCGCACGCCTTTAATCCCAGCACTCGGGAGGCAGAGGCAGGGGGGTCTCTGTGAGTTCAAGGCCAGCCTGGTCTCCAGAGCTAGTGCCAGGATAGGCTCCAAAGCTACACAGAGAAACCCTGTCTCAAAAACCAAAAATTAAAATAAAATAAAAATAAAGGGAAAAAAATCATTGTACTAGAAAACCACTGAACTGAAATTATCTGTACTGTATGTCATAAAGGAAAAGAGGAACTGGGTATGATAGCTCTTGCCTGGAATCTCAGAATGTGGACAACTGAGGCAGGAGAGTGATTGTGAGTTCTAAGGTAGCCTGACCTACATAGTTTCAAGTCAGTCTGAACTACAAGGTGAGATAATATCTTTTTTTTTTTTTTTTTTTTTTTTTTTTTTTTTTTGTAAATCCAAGTCTGGAACCTCAGAGCCCCAGTAAAGATCATTAGGCACACCAACATATGAATAACAGGAGTCCCAAAAAAGCCAGGAAAGAGAGGATATCTACAGAAGTAAAATACACTGAATGATACTGGGCATGGCTGCACAAATCTTTAATCCTAGCATTTAGAAGGCAGAGGCAGGCAAATCTCTGTGAGTTGCAGGCCAGCCAGGGCTACACAGAAAGACCCTGTTTCAAAAGAGAAAGAAAAAAGAAAGAAATACCAAATAATTTTGAAAAAAAATAACAAAGTGGAAAGATTCACTTCACTTGTTGATTTAAAAACTTACCACAAATCTTTAATAATTAAACCATGTGGTCTGGTATAAGGATAGGCACCAAAATTAGAACAGTGAATTCAAAATGAGCCTAAAATTAGATGCTTCCAACTATAGTCAATTTATTTTTGCCAAGATCTCCAGGACCATTCCAAGTAGAAAGAATGGTTATCTTCAACAAATGGTACTGGGACAACAGGATACCTGTATGCAGAGGAATGAAACCAGACCCTTAGCTCATACAAGATGCAAATATCAACTCTGAATACCTAAAGGCTTACATTAAGAGCTTCACCTATAAAGCTGATATAAGAAAATAAAGGCTAAAACTTCATGACTTTGGATTTGGCAATGATGTCATAGATGTGAAACCAAAATCATTAGCAACAAAATGGGGAAATTTGAACTTAGAGGAGGGGCTCAGTGGTAGAGTTTGTTTGGCACTTTTGAGGCCTTAGGTTCAAGTCTTAGCAACTGCCTCACCAAAACACAATCGAGGCATAAGCAAAAGACTAAAACACACACTTTCCAAAAGCCACCTACCCAAAAAAAGCAAATGCTTCAGCATCACTGTCATCAGGAAAACACAAGTCCAAATCAGGGGATTCCAAATGATTTCTGTGAAGAATGGTGACATGAGCACAGAATTGGTTCTGAGGGCTGCACCAGGAGGTTCAAATCAGCCACAACTTGTGACTAGCCAACTTAGCCATGAACAAAAACCTATCATTTTTATCTGAGCTTTGTGTGTAAAACACAGTTAGTGGCTAAAGCCAGTGTTCTGAAGAAACCAGGAGGTAAAGAAAAGCTTTTCAAACATGTTTCACTCAGGTGGGATCCAACAGATGGCTGGTATACCTTAGCCTTTGAACACAGTGACACAGAATTTCTTTAAGATTACTGGAGGCACACGGATTGAGCAATGTGTGCCGGGTCACTGTAAAGGCTAATGTGGACTGCCAACTTCCTGACGTTTAGGATTATGTGGGAGCCTAGCTCTGTTGGTGTCTGTGAAGGCATTTCCCCTAGAGGGGTTTAACTGAGGTAGAAAGACCTATCCAGAATGTGGGCAGCACCATTCCATGGACCAGGGTCCCAAACTGGATAAAAAGGAAGAAGCAAGCAGAGCACTGGCGTTCATCCCTCTCTCTGTTTCCTAGTTGTGTCTCATTTAGTCAACCACTTCACACATCTGCCACCACACCAGACATGAAGGACTATACCTTCAAACCGAGAGCCAAATAAACTTTTCCCTCCCACAATACCTGGTGTGGTATTTTGTCACACCAACAAGACAAGTAATGAATATAGAAAAGAACTGAACCTGGTCTTTATAACTCCCAAGGAGAAAATGGATAATTGTCAAGATGTCATTACTGTTGGAGTAGAAGTCAAGTGTTCTTGCAGCGATGGCTAAGAGGTGTGAGGTGCTTCCACATAGGGTACCTCATAATTCTGGGACAAGTAAGAACAAAGAGCCAAGGCAACCTTCTCTGGTCCTATTGCTAGAAAGCTAACTTGTAAACATGGTGTTGAACCTGGTTAATAAAGGGAAGAGTCAGAAATGTAGCAAAAGAGCCCCACAGTCTTCTCAAGAAGCAGCTGCCTTGGAAGTAGTTTGCTTCCTCTGTATTGAAAGCAGGAGAAACAGTGTTGAGAGGGTGTGAAGAATGGATTCATTTGTGGGCAGAGAAACAATGAAACTTCCTTGACATAGCATTTAAATCCTGAATCCCCTTCTGTCAAAATGAGGTGTAACAAAGTGAGGAGGCTGTTGCTGGGCAAGCCATAGCCCCAGGAAAGTATCTGAGATAGTTCAGACACCTGCCCTCTGATCCAATGGTAGGAGATCTGAGTGCCTAGGGCCCTTCCAAGTCTCCCATGTTTTCTCCCATGCAGAATGATCTTTAAGGGCAAAACACTGGTATCTGAGAGAGAGGACCAAAACAAAGGCACAAAAACCCCTTTTCCCTTGAGGCTTTGCCACCAAGTTCTTTTTGTGACATTTAGCAGGTCACACTGCCTCTTTGAGGCTCAGTCGCCCTGTTCCTACAGTGAAGGAGCAGAACTAGACTCTGTGTCTCTTGTCCTTGAAATCAGCGTAACTCAGAACCTGGAATAAGTATTTTGCCTCCAATGAACTCAGAGCCGCATTGTCTTAAGGCTTCTGGCTCTGGTATAGCTCTAGAAGATGCTGCCTGAAAAGGACAGTGTCCAAGGGGACTTTCCACCTCCAAGTTTTCCAAAGGGATCTCTCTTTTTTTTTACCTTTATAGCCAAATTCAAACTCCTCTCCTAACTTTAGAAGACAGCAATCTAAAGTTGCTCCTTCTGAAGTTCTCACAAATGGTTTATCCAGTTCATTCTCCTCACCCACTGTACATAATAGTTACTTGTTCATCTCTGTGAATAGAGGAAAGCAGCCAACTCAACCTATCCCAAGGCATGCACAGACCCTGGGCTCACCCTCTGAAGGGATCTGCCTTTTCAACATCTGAGCTTTCCTGAGCTAGAGTTCAAGCCCAGGCACAAAGGTAGTTTTCCATGGGCCATAAGTTCCCTGCCGCTTCAGCTCACAATTTGTATGTGTGTGGATATACACACATGTGCACATTTCTAGAAAGAGGGTCTGTAGTGCCCATCAGATTCACAGGGGGAAATGTGTCCTCTTCTGCCACATTTGCACCCAAAATACAGATTCAGGCACCCCAAGGCAGACCTCAGCTGCAGGTCAAACAGATGTGCGGGGTGAAGGCTTAGACTCCAAGCCCTTGAACCTTAGAGGTGAAACTCAAGGACCACAGGGTACAACTAGAGAATTAGGATCTGGGAAACAACCCTCCCCACAGCATTTAGGGACACTTCACTGTTTCTCTCAGTTGGAAATGAACCACCCTGTCTGTAGCTTCCTCTCTTCTGGAAGAGCCTTAAAGGTAGGGATCCATCTGCACAGACAAGCTTCTCATCGGCATTGGGAGCTTGACGTACTCTTGCTGACCTGAACTATACTAGACTAGTACTTAAACTTTGAACTCCTTCCTCAGCCTCTCCAGAGCTTGACCTGGACCAACACTTACCCTTGAGCATCCTCACCAGGCTTCTCTAGTTGACCAAGAATCCCCATTGAACAGTTAGCTGTTTCAAGCCCTAGAATTCTCTGGGGCTGAGTTGGGGAGAAAGAGCAGCACCCATCAAAAGGATATTAAATGAAGGAAGAGCCATCATAGAAAGTGTAATGCAGCTTGGCAGGCTTCTTGGGCCCTTTCAAATCTTGAGAATGGCGGCCCGAGTGAGCATGGTGACTGGAAGGCTGGTGAGGAGTGGAAGCAGTAACCTGAGTCCCCGTAGTGGAAGGATGGTGAGAGTCCCCCTTGGAGGTCAACATTAAATGAGAGGGTATCTTTGCCCTGTAGTTTCGTAAAATCATGGGGCAGGAGGCATTCCTCCCTTTCCACAACATCCTTTCGGCTTCTCTGTGGGAAGGAGATGAACGCATCTTCTAGGCGCTCGGTTCTCACTCTCCAGAGAGGTTCTCTACAGCCCCTTCCCAGCATTCAAGTCTCCCACCCCTTGTCCTAAAGCATGTGTCCCCTTCCTGATCTTCCTCATATGCAAAGGCACTATTTTTAGGAGGAAGTGGGAAGGTGCCAGTGCCCTGGAAAGACCAGCTGTGTCTGACCATCTGTCTGGACCTGTGGAATGGAGCTATATACAGAGGGAACTCTGGAGCAGCTGGAGACAGACTATCCCCTCACACCCATCCCCGTCCTGAAGTTCCAGGTAGGCTCCTTCTAGAATGTCATAGTACAGAGATGAACTGGGCGACTGTTGCCTACCTGTGCCCTGGCCCCATGATCCCAGGAGACATAGATGACTTTGGTGTGAAAAGGGTTTTAATTTTTATGAGTTGGGCCCTTAGAGAAATAGTTTCTGCTAGGGCCCACAGTATCACCAAGTAATATACTATGAATCACCCATGTGGATGTAATATTTTGTTTGGGAGATGTTTTTCTTGAACACTTGGAAAATCATGCCAAAAAATTACCACTTGGGACACAAAGCCAGGAGCTACACAAAGGACTTCCTTAGGTGAGGTAAGGATGTTGCAGACAGAGGCATCTTTGACAGAGCTAGGTGAGCTCAGGAACTGCTTTACTTCTCTATAAATTGGAAGGACCATGGACTCCTCTCTCTCTCTCTCTCTCTCTCTCTCTCTCTCTCTCTCTCTC